GCATATGTTATAATTTGAGGCAGCAATTAGCAGCATCTGGATCGTGGGTAACAAAATACCCATGGCCTGCATGCTTTCCTATGGTACTTGAGTATCTGGCAAATTGACTATTAAAGTACAGATTCTCTTAAGTGCACAAACAGCACTGGAGCTCAATGCGGATGTAACATACCGGTATATGGGTTATTGACCAAGCGTGAGGTCAAGATGGCTGGATATTGGCCAAGTTCTATTTTTGTGTGTTTATAGACCAGGACAGAGTCAAGGTCCATAAACTCGNAAAAAAAAAAAAAAAGGAATGAGGCCAATTGTCAGCCATTTTGACCAAACAAGCTTGGTCAATAAAGGATTTATTATATGGCTTTCGGGAAAATGTTTCTTGTGGGACACAGCAGGTAGTCCCGAGGACAGGATTTTGTTCTCCTTGTCCGCTCACAGAGCTAGCCATATAATAATACAGGTTTCTCGTGACAATCAGCCTGACATGCCTTCTGTCAGTAGGACAATCACAAGACTTTTGTCGGGCATATAGTTTATTTGTGCCCTGAGTAGCATCATTTGCTGTGCCCGGGCACGAATGATGCTACAAGGGACACAAATAAACTATATGCCCAACAAAAGTCATTTGATTATCATTATTATCAATACACAAGGCCAAATCGTACAAATTCATGTAAATTAATAAGAAAAAATGTTTAACAGAGATGTAGCTTGAAACTATGATATGGAAAGTTGTTGCTACAATACGAACAGTTAAACAGGAGCCAAATAAAATTCCTCTCTGTTTACAATAAAAGTCAAATATAATCTAGTTTTAAAAAGATTAGTAACAATGATCAAATCAAATGACTGCCTTGTAAGCTCCCGCCATCCCTCTCTGCCACGGCGAGCAAAATGAAAATACAACGAAAACCATTTAAACTCAACTACTCCACATCTTTCCAAACGCCATCCGTGTTCTGCCCTTCCTTGGGGTATCGATTCAATTTCTACTTGTCTCCTGACTGAATAGATGATTTGTGTTCTGGTTTTGCATCGTTTTCTTTCGTAAATAGCTTGGCCTTAGCTTCAAACATTTTGTTGGCAGACATGAATTTGCTGTCTTGCAAAATGTTTATGTTTCGGGTGAGTGGAGCACAGGTTAGATGGCGATGAATGGCCGCTCTAATTCCAGTCAATGCAGTTAGAGTAATGCTTGGCCTTTCTCTATTTTCCCTTTAGCGAAGAACTTTCGCAGAACTTCACTCAAGTCCGTTAGACTTATTGTTTTGAGGTCGACTGTAATTTTTCTTTTCTCGCACCATCTGCCGAACTTTTTACTCCCCGCACAGTTGTTTTCTTGGTGTTTTTCACTTGAGCTTTTTGCTCAATTTCATGCAGTTGCTAAGTCCGAGTTTTGACTAGAACAAAGCTGAAAATTTGGGACTTCAAGATCTCCAAACGTCAAACGTTCACTACAGAACTACAAAGTGAGCAAGTACAAACTCATCCACAAAAATTCGCACCAACTCTAACATTGAAGTGGTATCCTCAGGATCTCATTGGCTGATCGAAGTTGTTTGACATCGCTGCAGCCAATCAGAATCAGTAAGGCAAATGCATTTTCAGCCCGCAAAATGGTGCGTTTTACAGAGGGCAGTTTGTAATTTGGCCACGCGTATTGATAATAATGTGAATTAGCTTGGGGTTAAATAGCCTGTTTTTGAACTACTGTGACATGTGAAGCTAAGGACTGAATTAGGTTAAAGAGACCTTTTTCTTGATCTCGGTATTGGACTGGAACTAGCTTGCAACCGAGGCTAATGTGGGGAGCCTTTTCAAATGCAAATGACATTATCTCTTTTTAATGATATTTCCCTGCCTGAGCCTCCATTGCAAGCTAGTTCCAGTCCAATACCGAGAATACGAAAATGGTCTTTTGTGTAGTGGTGTCTTATAGCCTTTGACCTTTAAGTATGAAATACTGCTACTCTTGCTTTTCTGAACTCCAGTCATCTTGAACAGTGTTTTTACTGTGAATTTTAAAGGGAGTGAAAATCTTCTGTACTTCAAACTTACCTGTTCATACTTCCTCATTTTTGCAGTTGTGGTACTCAAAGAAGACACACCCGAGAATGATGAATTAGAATTGCTGGCAGATGAAATAAGTGACAAATGGAAGAAGCTTGCACTTCGGTTAAATCTTGAGCCAAGAATTCCTGACATTGATAACCAATATAAACAACTATCTGAAAAGGCATATCAGATGCTCGTGGAGTGGAAGCAAAGAAATGCAGATAATGCAACTTATACAATTTTGTTTAAGGCCTTAGATAATCCTCTTGTTGGTCGCAGAGATTTGGCTGAGAAATATTGTTTCAAGGGATGGAGAGATTAATGCTATGATTTGTACGGCTATCCACTTGGTGGTAATAAATTGACTATTTAACATCAAGACTACGAGCCCAAGATTTCTATGGGTAACAGTCAACTTGGCTATTCCTCACTGACTATTCACTTATAGAAAACTTGGGCTCGTAGTCTAAAAGACCCTATTCGTAAATGGCTGCCAATCATAACTTCTTTTGTCAGTATTAAAATTAACCTAAAAAACTTCGTTTTTGAGTTGATCATTCAAAAGAATTTTTACTCTCAAGCGAGTTTAGTGAGGCTAATTTAATTGAATACAAAATAATTTTAAGTTGGCAGCCATTTATGATTAGGGTCTATTGTTAATTATAATCCATCAAATATTTTTGTTATACCTCCCAACTCAAATACGTTACCTGATTGGAGGAAAACGTGTCACGTGTCGTGGGTCAACTCACTAACTCCCTAGGGTGAACAAAACTCACTAACTCCCTAGGGAAACAACAACTTGAACTTTCGACTCGCACGTGATCAGGTCGTGCTTCTTGAAACCGCGGCAAATTTGTGAGCTAGCCTAGCCAGCGTCAAGCAAACGATTTCTTCGCAGTTTTTTTTTCACTTTTGAGGTGGGAGGTATCACAAAACACTTGCGGGAAACAGCGAGTTTTGTTTCCCCTCGACCTCAATGTTCCCTGAGGCGAAGCCGAGGGGAATATTGAGGGTCTCGGGGAAACAAAACTCACTATTACCCCCGGGGCCAGTCATTAAGTGCTTATTGTTCGCACGCGATTGGTCTCAGAAACGCGTCTCGTGATGGAATATTCTCCAGTTAAAACTGGAGGTCTCGAAGGGGTCTCGATTCTCAAGTATAGTGTCTGGTAGATGTTTAGGAGTTTCCCTTGAAACTAAAGCTTGGTTCTCATATGCCGCCGACCTACCTGCGACGTAGTCGCCGGTTGCAAGTGACAACGTTCGGCGATCTGTTCCAGTGGGTCCCCGGCGCATCTGCGATTTATCGCCGACGTACTCAAACTGGCGTGAAATCGAGTTGTTACGTCATACGTTGCGTCCCGAGATGGTCAAGATGATGTTCACATAAAATATTTTCATCGCCGACAACCGCCGGCTTGCCTGCGAAGTTGAACTCAGCTCAACTTCGCAGGCAAGCTGGCGCTAACTGCCTGGGATAGATTATGATTCGGCAATAAATATTCGCATATGCCGTAGCGGTGTCCCAGGCCATGACGGCGTCCCAGGTAGGTCGGTGGCATATGAGAACCAGGCTTTAGTTTCAAGGGAAACTCCTAAACATCTACCAGACACTATACTTGAGAATCGAGACCCCTTTGAAAGAGAATGTTCTGATAGTAGTTTGGCATGTTACTGCGAGAAATAAAACATCACGTGGCCACTACTTGTTGTAGATGTCCAGTATCAAGCAGCCAGTTCGACCGCTGACCAGGTCCTTGCGGCATGTCCATATAGTGTTTAGTGCCCCTCCACCAGGGGCAAAAACAGGTACTGGGAAAGTATCAGGGCAACCTGAAAAATTCTTGGGGGTGGGGTTGGGTTAGCCTGGGATGGACTAGTATCCCATCCTTTGGCAGCGGGAGTGGAGGCAATCCTTTCGGAAACCACTTTCTTCTCTCTTCTTTATATGGAGAGCAAGTCCTTTTCTGTAGCAGGAATCTGTGTTCATTTTGCTAATCTCGACTCACTGGGTGCTATACAGGAGACTGCGTGCTAGACCGTTTATTAATAGTAGTCCTGTAGGTTGTTTTCTACCTTAGTTTGCTCCTTGTTTGTAACTAGTTTGGACAATACAATAACAGTTACAGTTTTCTACGGTTTTTACTAGCATGTTACATGAAAGTCAAATTTACTGTGCATGCCGGTTAGACAGGTGAAGCGACACGGTATTTGTAGCGATAAAATTGAAAATCAATGGAAGTATGTTCTACTACTGTTTTAACTCGGAGTTTGTAACATTCTGTAAATAATTGTATTTTTGTAACGTATCTGTTATAGTATTTTTAAAAAGTGTATGGCATATGGTATCCATGTAAGCAGAAAATAAGGAACTTCCAAAAATAATTAAAAGTTTACTCCAATTAATTAAGGGCATTTTTATTCTCAAGTGACATGTAAAGTATAGATGTTTAAGGTTGGATATATATATATATATATATATATATATATATATATATATATATATATATATATATATATATATATNCTTCTACGGTCTTATCTCTATTAAATAAATTAGTTATTAGTTACAATGAAATGGATAGGCGGAACATCTATCCATCCCACAATTTTTTCTTTTCTTTTTTTTTTTTCCCATCATAAAAGGAATGAAGATCGGAAACTTCATAAAGGATGCTGTCTGGCGTAACAGCGTCTCAACTGCTTTTCCTGACGTAAAAACTGATGCGTCAGTGATCGAGACATTGTTTATCATGTTTATGTCATCGTTTTGCTTTTTTTTGAATCACTCCTCCCTTGCGACGCTAACAAAAGCATAGGTAGCTTATGCGCTAGTGAGAACGGCTGGGCCGGACATTATCTCAAACAGAAGCCGTCTGCTAATAATTAAGCTTATGCTTATGTCGGTGTTATGTGCAGTGAAGGCATGACTGGCAACGCTGATTGACTGAAGGTCTTTCCCTTACGCTTTTTAAAATTATGCTTATGCCAACCATATCCTCGCTGGACACAACAGCGACATACTGAAGCATAAGCATAAGAAAAATGCAAGGTTTGATAGTCTTATGTTTATGCTTATGCTTATGTCTGGCCGTCCTAACTAGCGCATGGATGTTTTAATGCTCACAGTGCTTATGTAATGCTTGCGTCGCTAGTGAGGACTGGGCTTTAGGGGGCTCTCAGTATCCCACATCCCGTTAATTTTGGCCTAAATATCCTTTATCCCGTTAATTCCTGTTGCAAAAATTAACGATTCTCCTACACGATATCCCGTTTTGATCTGATCGAAATATTCCCTATCACACTAGTTCCCCCCCCCCCCGCCAAATATCCTGGCAGTTCCGTTAAGTTTTTAAAACCCATAGTACCTCACCAATCGCATGCTACCAAACGTTTCGTTGGTTTTCTTTCAAGAGACCACAATTTGTAAGAGCTTTTGGTTCATTTTTTGTCCTTGCAGAACTGTAAACTTAGCAAATGCCTCTTTTTTCTTCTTAGAGACTGATTGTACGTCAAAGTCAGCTATTCACTTGAAAGCGCATTGAAATTGTGGATTGAAGATCACAAAGAAATTTTCAGCCCCGAACAGATTGCTTGCATGCACTGCGCTGACTCCAAAGAGGAAGCTTGTGCGATCTGGTACGCTTAACGCTGCACGGGAGGTTTGGCATATAATTGAGACCCGTGTTCTCGTGGCCCGAGTTTCTATAGTTTATAAATTACCAGAGCCAATCAACTCCAACTATCTCAGGTATTGTGATGACGTTATTTTTATTACATTAGTGAGGCCGCCACCTGCTAAAGCAAACACGAGAAAAATCATCATGTAATAATTGTACAAAGTACGCAATTCAGTTAATTAATAATCCAACGATTAATTTCGCTACATATGCCACGAGATCACATTTTCTTCCGTTTAAGTCTTATTTCGCAGAAATGTGCACCACTGTTTTCTCTTCTGAGGTCTTATGAAAGCCGCGCAGTTGCGACCTTGGGTATGATATAACTTCGTAAATTTTTAATGCTGTGAAAACATTCTTTAATCTCCAAGAGGAAGCTGACATCAAATAATCAAACAAACGTTTTCAGCACCTTTGCTTATCTTGCACAACAAACTGCAATTATCCTTTATGACCACTTCATTAATCTCGTCCTGATCAGATGCTTTCCAACAAATTTCATACCCATAAAAACCCTGTAGGGAGATACGAGCACGTATCTACTTGTCAAGTGACCTCTTCGGCAGTGGTCTGTCAAGACATGATCTACCATCGCTGTAATTCCACTGCTGTCGCTTCACAAACGCTACCATTTGTGGCGGAACATCAGGACAAAGTCTATCGTTGGCTGAATTCATCGGCAAAGGTTTCACGGCCCATCTGGGTCGTGGAGTTGTGCTATTTGCAGCCTTTCTACCACAGCCTAGAGATATATCTGAATGTTCGCGAAGGTCTCTGTTGTACGACGCGGTTTTCGCGCGGATTTGAACAGTCTTAAGCTTCTCTTGATTGAGATTAAACGGTCTTCCTCGATGCAGGTAGCCCATGCGTGTGTGATTCTTCCTCAGATCGGGTAAAAACGCTTCGATGAGCCTTTCTCTGTTTTGTTCGTTCATCACAGTCATGTCTATCTCGGAGCGACATGATTTAGTTTGCCGTGAATCTGGCGAATTCCTCGATGATTCCCACACAGAGAGCGTTTTGCGAGTTCTAAAAGGTTCGGAATTCGCTCTGGACCTGTTACGCCTCCGTGTTGGAGAAAGCGAAACCTCGGATCGTCCGTCTACGTTCATGGTTTGAAGCGTTGTGTTGTTTCCACGGCGCGTGAAACTTCTACGCTTGGTGATTGTGTTTACCCAAGTTAATATAAACGCCGGTAATTAATACCACACCATATTAAACCATCAGTTCTAAAAGTAGCACAACTCTGTCACACGTGCAAGACTACGAAAACCGCGGAACTGCAAAGGAACTGCGAAATAATGCGATCACAAGTTTATAAATTCACTAACAAGCTTGAAAGTTCAGACAGACAAAGAAGCGTTCATGCTGAATAAATTATTAACGATTGTCTCTGGTTGTCAACGTTTATTGTTTATGGTTGAGTGTGATTATGTTTATAACCGAGTCACATGCAGCCAGTCAATGAATGTGTAACGCCAACCTCCTCTGTGTAACAGGCATGGCTGATCAAATTTGTTGCTAGGTTACCGTCTGCATTAGTCAGAGATGAGACTAGGTTCGACTTACAGAACAGAAGTTTGTACATGTTTACTTTTTAAAAAGAAATTCAACGGCAAATTGACTGTAATAACTTTAAGAGCTTTTGTCAAGCACTGATCAAGTGTCGCTACGTCAGCCAGCTTCATTATTGTGCCTGACTAACACACCGAATCCCACTTCTATCAGGGACAACCCAAGAGGAATGTCTCGGATGAAGCTTTGTTCTTTCTTGAGAAATTGTCATTTATATCTCTGAAGCTCCTTGCCAGACAGGGAAAGAAAGTAACCTGTATTCTTGTTTTTTAAAGGGGCTCAGTCATGGCATTTTGAGTTACTTTGGCCGCGTACAAAATGGCCTTTACACTGAAGGAAACCTGAAAAAAAGCAGTTCACTAAGATAGAAAAACACCAAAAAGATCATAATAAACTATAAGGGAACAAGAATGGTCAAGATAGAGAAGATTAACACGGATTACAAACGCAAGTTTTTCACCGTTTGGCCACTCAACCCAAGTCAACGCAAGTTGAGAGACGTCCATTAACCTATTATTAGCCAATGAAATACAGGATATTTGTGACTTGAAATGGTTTTTATAGGGACTTGCGGGTACTTGCGGGAAAAAAAGCGAGTCCGTTTAGCCACCCACCGCAACTCTCTACGGATGTAACATCTCACATTTGTCGCCGATTTCCAATTTGCGCGCGGCCAGAATGCGGAAGGCTAATTTGACGTGAAAGATTTCTGATTCAGCAAATGATGTTTTAGATTCAGCATCAGAACATTAAGTCACGAACCCTATAAATGAAACATAAAACACAGGAAGAGATTCTGCATAAAAGAGACCACGACTCTTATTGGAAATCATTTAACGAAGTCTAAAGAAGTAATTACATCTCGTTTTGTGGGTGCGGTTCTAACCTATTTTCTCGCCAAAGGGTAACTTTTGTCCCCGCCTGTTCACAGAGTTCATTTGGCAGCCTAGCGTTATGTTTTAGGAAAAAAGGTTTCTCTTTAAAAGCGAAAAGCTATTTGATCAGATACTCCATAACGAAAGAAAAATGGGCTTAAAGTATTGCGAGAATTAAGGGTTACGTTTGGAGGCGGTCTCGCCTTTGTGTCCTGGTCGACAGCAGCCTCGTTCCTCAATTTAACAGACTTATGCTCTATCTGCAGGAAATCTGCGAAGCCCTTCATGATCTTGTCAAACTCCGTCCAAACCCATCGTTCGTGAGCGTATTGTGTTTTCTTCGCATGTGATTCCTGGAAGCTAACTGCACTGCCCTTTCTCCGGTTCAAAAAAGGAGTCTTCCGGTTCGAAGCCACTTTGACTGATCGGCTCTTTGCTGATAGATTCCGCTCCGAACCAGGTGTAGATTCCGGCGAAACAGAAGGGCTTCCCATCCGCTCAGATTCTTTCCCATGAGCTGATCCAGCGTTTAATGAAGGATTAACTTCACTCGGTTTTTGCTTATCCACGTTGCTGCCCAGAGAGCTGCCTTTACCATCGCCCGTGTTCACCGAGGAAGTCACTTGTTCGTTTTCTCCCGCCGAATCACACGCGCGTTCTCCGGTCACTGTTGACGCGTGCGACAAACTTAAATTTGTTACACCGTGTCGAAAACTCCGGTGGCTTTGTCTCGCGAGTCGGCTGTTATTTCCAAGATCTTTGCTTTCATATTTGGCCTCTCTGCTCGGTGAAATATTGTTAATTAATATAATAGGCTTTCCATCTGTAGCAGAGGACATCATTGCTGCATCGTTTTCATTCACGCTGTAGCGCTTAACTTTCCTTCTACTCTCTGCTTGCTTCACAATGGCAGCTCGAGCACGCTCCATTTCTGCTGATCTTAAACGCCTTTCTTGTTCAATTCGGTTATTTGTTTGGTCTAAGTCGCATTTCAGAAAAGAGTTTCTGTACCTTGCGAAATGCGCCTCGCGACGCGTTGTTCTAAATTGGCTGAGGTGAAGTTGCCTAGCTTCTCTTCGATGACGGTCTGTGTTAGAATCGTTCCCGATCAAAAAGTTGTCATCTTCGGAGTAAACGTCTTGAGACGAAGCCATAGTTGTCAACTGTTCATCGCCGTTGTCACAAAAAATATATTGAAGTGGAATTCCGGCCGGCTAGTTACCGAAAAGAAGCTACCTCCAACTTTTTTTAAGTTTCCAGAAAATTTAGGCAGAAAACCAGTTGAGCACAGCCGTGTAGAGTTACAAAATACTTTGACTGAAATACTCGGTCAGTTCTTCTCATTCTATACTAAGTACTTAACGCTTAGTTTTTGTTTTGTCCTGGTAGCCTATTGAGATACTCTAAGCGCTTTTACTTGCGGTTTCTTTCGAATAAATAAAATATTAGTCACTGATGAAAAAAACTTTATATAATAGGTACCATGGATTAATGTTTTGGCGTATTTTTAATGAACTCCTACCATATTTTTCGTCCTATTCGACCAATCTAAACCAGGTTTTCATTGGTTGCTGGAGAAAAGCTTTCTTTTTTCTTGGATCATCAATATTGAAAGTGCATTACTAATGTACGAGAAAATCAGCAGCAGAAAATGTTCAATTGTATTCCATCGCTTTCGTAATGACCCCAGCTGTTTCCTTTGTAACGGTGAGAAGCACACGATATAAACTGATAGCGCTGAGGACCTGGCTTTCAGTAGGAGTGCATGAAAGAATAAGGCACAAGTAGTACATACAAACTGAAGCGAAAGAATAATAAAGATCAAATGTTCTGAACTTTTCTTTTTGCTTGCAGTTGAGCCTTATGCATAGTTTTTTAACTGTACAACTAATGTACATTTTTTATATTCTTGTATATAGACATAGACATGGAAAAGTACACACTTAGCTGTTCGCTAGTTTCCAGGTGTTCCACGATTTAAATTAAGTAATGTACAACATTATAGGAGCTTAAAAAAAAAAACCCGAGCTAAAAGCGATAAAATATAATCAAAGTGTATTAAACATGAAAATCAGTTTGCCGAATCTTTTTCAAAAAGTCTTTTGAGCCTGCCATGGAACGAGTATATTTTGTAGGTATTTTATATATAATCTTAGTTTAGTTTAATATTTATCCCCAAATGTACATTTTTTACTTTGTAATTTCGTTTTCTTGGGGCAGCTGTCTGACTAACTGGTGCCTCCTATAGACTCTGCTTATCAACATGGGACGCACCGTTACTATAGCTAATTGTGCGATCCCGAGGAGGGTCTTCCATACCGAAAGGCCGGGGTGCTTGTCAGAAATTTTGAAACGAACCCCTAAGAGGTATCAAAATCCTGTTTTGTGTGCGTGACTTGAAATTACTTTCACTCCTAAGAGGTACCAGTTCTAACACAAAACATTATCTCTTGTTCGGCTGAATACCCTAAAAGGTAACTCAAAAGCTTCCGCTGTGGATATTTTGAAGCTGAACACCCTGAGAGGCACCGCAACCGCTTTTTTAACCCCTAAAAGGTGCGACGAGCACCCCCTTCTTTTATATGGGAGTCCCCCCTCCGGGTGTGCGACCAACTAAGAATCATTTCTACAGCAATGTCAGTCAATGTCGCTATACGATCCAACTTCAGTTCTACTTACATGCACCGCTACGTGATTGGCTTAAAAAAAACCCGCGCACTTTGCCATCAAATCAGAAATTTAACAAAACCAGTCGTGACTCGCACACGTTTTCCCGCGCTTTGCGTTGGCCCTACATGTATGAACAACAACAAAAACTTTTATTTCACCCTGGAGTTAGAAATAATTTATTACAATGTTATAGATTAAAAATGATAGGGGTGCTGGCTACCCAAAATAACGTAGGAGTTAAAAATGTATGGAGGTTTGATTGGTCATCTCGATTCTTGTGTCCTATGTGATTAATCCTGGTGATTACTTTAGTTTTGGTTTAACGATATTGAATAAAAAACCGCTCTAGGCACCGACTGATACATGAATTACAATGTTCTTAGATTTCCGAGAGCAACGATATACATCATGGCAAAGTGGTATTCCAAACACTCAGTGACGGCTGTTGTTGTTTTTATTGTTCCAAAACTTCTTTCAGGCGAGTTTAAAAGAAATATAACTGATACAAAAATATTTCTAGAGAAAGTTACTGTCCTGCTGGGGTTTTATTTGCTTTGAGTGCTGTTCCGGACAATTCTTATTCTTAGATAAAATCTGTTGTTGTTCTCGCGCTTATCATGCGACGACAGGTGACAGGGGGCCGATGTTCTCATTCTTCAATGAGATGTTTTGTTGCAGAAACATACGCAACCCTGCTAGATAGCTGCTCCCTTGATCTGTCTTTCTTTGAAAGCCTGCAGCACGGGTTGTGGCCTCTCTCTGTCACCTCTCTGCAGTGTTTAATTTCAAAGATATTTTCACGTGATTCTGCAATCTTACATCCGATCACATCATCGCGCTTTTCCTTCTTTGATTTGAAATTGGAGTTATCTTAAATAAGTATATTGTGTATGCATGGTGCATATTAATAATGGATCTAGCGTTAGATATTTAAAAAAAAACGTCACCTCCGTCTTCTCATTATTTTTGACTGGAGTCCAGTCACTGGAGTCCAAAAGCGGTTGATGATGGAGATGATGGACTGGGCTGCACAGTTTCCCACTAAAAATAGCCGAAGGCGGAGACAGCCTTAATTTTCCCTAGTGACACAATGCCAGATAATCTCTTAAAAAATAAATAAAAGAGCTACCATTTTCATTCAAGCCAGGCCGCCTGCTCGCCGCAGGCTATAGTCTGACTCCATCTACGTTTCGTTTAACAAGTCATCATCCGCTACGCTCTTTTACCTTCTATGGTCAAACCCGTTGTTGACAAAGAGATCCTCCAGTAATTTCTTTAATTAAACAAACCAACCCACATCGTTTGCAGTGTCCATTATTTTTTTGTCTGTGAATTGAAGGCGGAAAGCAGTGTTTACGCTTGCGATTAAGCTAAAGGGAGAGCCTTTTGTTTTGAAAATTATTTGCATATAAAAACAGGAAAGCGAATGGGGTAAATACAACTTTAAAACTTCGGACTCGTGAGAAAATTGGAACATACTTGGATAGATGCACTCTGAAAAACGAATTTAACTGAAGGAGCAAAGATTTGTCAGTTAGAAAAGATTGGATCGTGCAGTACCAGGGTACCTGAAGGCGGTCAGATAGCACCCACTTTAAATGCTTGCATATCAAAGGAAAGGTTCTTGTACCGACGGGAAAATCGGTGGATATTTCGTATAAAAATATCTAGTAGCAATGACGGGGCACTCTTAAAAGCAACCAGGAAAAACGAGCGATGCATTCACTGAGCACATTGATGACTCGGCTGAAAATATTTACTACAATAAAAGTTATATTTATGCAGTATTAATTGAAAAGTGAAAAGCCATGCGGCAGGTAAACCTCAAGAACACACAAGCAAACATTTGCCACGTAGACCCTTTTCATGAATAGCTGCCAATCAGAAACTCTTTTGTAGGTATTAAAATTAGGCTACTAAGTTGATAACTCAAAAGAATTTTTACTCTCAAACGAGTTCAGTGAGGCAATTAAATGTATCCAAATGGTCCGCCATTTATGAAAAGGGTCTGTAAGCGCCCTGAGAGGATCTTTGGGCAGCTTCCTAATATGTCTGCTTTGGACTTGATTATCATGTTTTTCTGTTTCTGGATCAGAATTAGCCAAAATAGAGAGAACATCGCGTTGTAACATGAGTTTACAATAAATAATTCATTTCATAGGCTAATAAGACTGCGTTCTCTTTTTATTTTGATCATAAATATAGTACGTTCAAAGGATATCGAGTATTTTAGGTGCAAGAAATAGTTACTGGGCTACTTTTTTCTCAGAAATACGATCGATCATCTGACAAAAGCACGAGTTAAATTTATGACTGAATATTCTGAGCGTCCAAGTTTAAAATTACACCTCAGGCCATCTCAGGCCATCTATATAACAAAGAAGAGGTTGCTAATATTTAAATATCGTAAAATCCTCTAAAAAATAGAGTTGTTGTAATACTTCACCACAAAAACGTTCAAAGGCATTTAAGAACCGACAAAATTAAAATCTACTCTTGGGGAAAGTTTAAATAAATTGCAGCTGCTTCCAACATTGTTTACATCATCCCATATAAATAGATATGTATCACCGAATATTTAAAATTCCAAACATGAAATTGAAATATCAAAACTAACCACTAGGTGCAATGATTCACAATCATGTAAGTAAAATGCAATAATATATACATTGCTATCCTCAGAGAATAAAATACAATATTTTATAAGGGATCAAGTATGTACAGCGTTTTTGTTTTTTTACACCTCAATGATTATCCGAGCTAAAAAAAATGAAGCTGAAATAATGCCAAATGGAGGACGCTATATTCATAATTTATGCACTAAAATCAATATCATCTAAACTGTAGCTAATGTACGTATTTTTCGAGGAATCCTGATAGAATGTGCTTTTTGGATTTTCCCTCTTTTCGAGGACTTTCACCCTTGTCTGCAGATAATTTTCTCTCCTTGTCTTTTGTATTGCTAGCTTCTCTCGGCTGCGCAAACCGGGTGGCATACATCGTCGAGTCTCTCCATGTTTCATGTAACGGGGGTCTATTACTGCTTGAAATTGTCGGGCGTGTGAGCGAGGAACCCTTCGAATATCGTTGTTCCTCGCGGGGGGAAATGGTATATGATTCATTTTCGCCAAAGGTCACAGTCTTTCTTCTTGTTGGGTCTTTGCGGATTTTTTGTTGTCGGCGATAGCGCATCGACGATCCATCATCTAGCAGGTACTGGCTGCCCTGTGCCTGTTTACTATCGACCGCTACAGCGCTATACTCGTGTCGGTTGCCGGTAAATGAGTGACTTTTCGTCAGTGTAGCGTGATTAGCGGGTTCAATTCGCCGGGCACAAATGACTTCTTTGTTATTTCTTTGGTCACGGTAATGCGGAGTAGAATCGGTGGCACAGTAATCGTTTTGCTCAGAGTTGCCCCCGCAGCTGTAATTATTGTAGCTTGCGGCTTGGTTGAGTCTACTCGGATATCTAGAATCATAACCGCTATCGTGACTGTACGTAGAGTCTTCAGACACGCCAGAATCGGTTGACGTGCTCGAGATTGAATAGCGCCAGCCGGGAACGTTCTTAAATTCATAACTGACTCCTTCGTCCAAACCTTGAGCGAAGGAACACTTTTGTTTGAAACTCTCAGAGAGCATTGCTTGGGAGAGTAGCGCTCGTACTTGATCATTACCGGCGACGTCGACCGCTTTCTGTCCGCATCCGTTCCTTGCGTTCACATCAGCACAGGCTGAATTAACCAACAAGCTAACAATGTCCAGATGACCTTGTTCAGAAGCGAGGTGTAGCGCCGTGCGCCCATCAGAGTCCACAAGACTTAAATCCGCTCCTCGCTCCAGGAGAAAGTTCGCAAGCTCTAAGTTGCCATCCACACACGCTTGCTGTAGAGCGGTGAGTCCATATTTATTCGGTTGATTCACCCGTATGCCTTGTCCATATTTTAATATGAACTTGACTTTGGTCGTGTCTCCCTCTAACACGGCCTGGTGAAACACTACGCTCATGGCGAAGGAGACAACAAAAACGCTTTCCACGAGTATTCACACGTCCATTCAACCCGTCACTCTGTTGAAAAAGAGTAGATATTGATTGTACATCAATAAGCCACCAGATAATTTCACTTTCTAAACCTGAGTTATTTCGTAACATGCTTAGGTTTGTACTCCTTTCAAAACAGAACAAAGGAGTGTTTGAAAGAAGAATCAATTAGCGGTGTACAACGAATTCGAGAAGAACAAAAGTTTACGATAGCGCAAGATGTCGCGACCGGCTTACCTGACAAGGAATAATATAAACTTGGAAAATTGGTTAATACGTTTTGGATTTCCTATAAATTGTCATGAGCAATGGCTTATTATGTCGACGCATTCAACTGCGACCTTTTCCACGTAAACTACTGAAGCAGATCGGCAAACCCGCGGGAGTGATTAAAATTCACATGTACTCTAAACGGAATACATCGAGCTCTCGCGGCGCGTCCAAAAGGACACGTAATGACTCGATCTGTCATTGGTCGAGAGTTATACCCCGCGTTTGTTTGTGTAATGCAATATTGTTCGAACTTGAAACAGCGGGTGGCAAGTTTTCATCAACACCTCGGACAACCCTAAAAGGATCATAACATAACAAGCTGTCGACGTTGTTTTTTTTAGGCTAATTTAGAAAAACTTCTCCCAACACCAACACTGTCTCGAGAATTTTTTTCCGTCTTTTTCGTCCACAACTCTGCGTCAAGAGTTTTAATATGTTGTTACAGTAGTTGTATCGTGAAGCGATCGCAAGGGACAGTGATAGTAATTTATTGTTTCTCCATTGTTTAATGTATACTTTTGTTGGATCATAGCCGGTCCAGATCGAAAGAGCTTTACCTAACCTTGTTGTGGCGATTAGAACTGAAAAGACGGGAATTTTGTGAATCTAATTAGTTGTTGTATTAATTTTATATGGTGAGTGGATGAGAACGGTGCCATTTTAAAACAACATCACCCGGCTAAGATAGATCAACAAACCATCTACAGGGGTTCTTTTCAGGAAAAAAAATCTAAACAATTATAAAAAGCAATGATTGTTTCACCCTCCGAGAGAACCTGACATGAAGTCGCACTGATTACCAATTCATAATACAACCTAATAATAGCTTGGGATCGCTAAAAGCATTGAAGGGTTGTCTAAATATTGTCGCACCTTTGACATTCACTTCTGAAACAATATTGCTAGTAACTGCACTTGCCTTGAAGAGAACTAAGCATGTTTGTCGAGCTTATTTGCCTAATTTGTCATTATGCACTAAACACACTTACAGCGAACCGGAAATGACGCGTGTGGTGGTAGCAGTTCGGGCTAAAGGAAGTCGTTCAGAGAACATAAATTACATAATGATGCTATCGATACCTCTAATACTTCCTGTTCAGGAAGGAACTGAGAAAACGCGAGACGTCTGGTTTTGTTTGTCTTGCTTTTTAAGGTTGTATTTCAAGCAAACTCTAGGCCCTCGAGATTTTCAGCCTTTTTTGAACTTGTTGCTTTAGTCCACACCAAATCCATCCAAATCCGCCGTAGCTCTTGGTTTTTCCACATGTTGGCCTGTTGGCTTCTTAAATCTCCTCCCTATTTCCTTCTCCGGCTTGAATCAAGGTCTTTGATCTTTGTTCAGCCGTCGTCTTTGACTGAAAGAAGTTAGCGCGTGCAAAAATGCTTGGCACCTGCNTGTTCTCATTCTTCAATGAGATGTTTTGTTGCAGAAACATACGCAACCCTGCTAGATAGCTGCTCCCTTGATCTGTCTTTCTTTGAAAGCCTGCAGCACGGGTTGTGGCCTCTCTCTGTCACCTCTCTGCAGTGTTTAATTTCAAAGATATTTTCACGTGATTCTGCAATCTTACATCCGATCACATCATCGCGCTTTTCCTTCTTTGATTTGAAATTGGAGTTATCTTAAATAAGTATATTGTGTATGCATGGTGCATATTAATAATGGATCTAGCGTTAGATATTTAAAAAAAAACGTCACCTCCGTCTTCTCATTATTTTTGACTGGAGTCCAGTCACTGGAGTCCAAAAGCGGTTGATGATGGAGATGATGGACTGGGCTGCACAGTTTCCCACTAAAAATAGCCGAAGGCGGAGACAGCCTTAATTTTCCCTAGTGACACAATGCCAGATAATCTCTTAAAAAATAAATAAAAGAGCTACCATTTTCATTCAAGCCAGGCCGCCTGCTCGCCGCAGGCTATAGTCTGACTCCATCTACGTTTCGTTTAACAAGTCATCATCCGCTACGCTCTTTTACCTTCTATGGTCAAACCCGTTGTTGACAAAGAGATCCTCCAGTAATTTCTTTAATTAAACAAACCAACCCACATCGTTTGCAGTGTCCATTATTTTTTTGTCTGTGAATTGAAGGCGGAAAGCAGTGTTTACGCTTGCGATTAAGCTAAAGGGAGAGCCTTTTGTTTTGAAAATTATTTGCATATAAAAACAGGAAAGCGAATGGGGTAAATACAACTTTAAAACTTCGGACTCGTGAGAAAATTGGAACATACTTGGATAGATGCACTCTGAAAAACGAATTTAACTGAAGGAGCAAAGATTTGTCAGTTAGAAAAGATTGGATCGTGCAGTACCAGGGTACCTGAAGGCGGTCAGATAGCACCCACTTTAAATGCTTGCATATCAAAGGAAAGGTTCTTGTACCGACGGGAAAATCGGTGGATATTTCGTATAAAAATATCTAGTAGCAATGACGGGGCACTCTTAAAAGCAACCAGGAAAAACGAGCGATGCATTCACTGAGCACATTGATGACTCGGCTGAAAATATTTACTACAATAAAAGTTATATTTATGCAGTATTAATTGAAAAGTGAAAAGCCATGCGGCAGGTAAACCTCAAGAACACACAAGCAAACATTTGCCACGTAGACCCTTTTCATGAATAGCTGCCAATCAGAAACTCTTTTGTAGGTATTAAAATTAGGCTACTAAGTTGATAACTCAAAAGAATTTTTACTCTCAAACGAGTTCAGTGAGGCAATTAAATGTATCCAAATGGTCCGCCATTTATGAAAAGGGTCTGTAAGCGCCCTGAGAGGATCTTTGGGCAGCTTCCTAATATGTCTGCTTTGGACTTGATTATCATGTTTTTCTGTTTCTGGATCAGAATTAGCCAAAATAGAGAGAACATCGCGTTGTAACATGAGTTTACAATAAACAATTCATTTCATAGGCTAATAAGACTGCGTTCTCTTTTTATTTTGATCATAAATATAGTACGTTCAAAGGATATCGAGTATTTTAGGTGCAAGAAATAGTTACTGGGCTACTTTTTTCTCAGAAATACGATCGATCATCTGACAAAAGCACGAGTTAAATTTATGACTGAATATTCTGAGCGTCCAAGTTTAAAATTACACCTCAGGCCATCTCAGGCCATCTATATAACAAAGAAGAGGTTGCTAATATTTAAATATCGTAAAATCCTCTAAAAAATAGAGTTGTTGTAATACTTCACCACAAAAACGTTCAAAGGCATTTAAGAACCGACAAAATTAAAATCTACTCTTGGGGAAAGTTTAAATAAATTGCAGCTGCTTCCAACATTGTTTACATCATCCCATATAAATAGATATGTATCACCGAATATTTAAAATTCCAAACATGAAATTGAAATATCAAAACTAACCACTAGGTGCAATGATTCACAATCATGTAAGTAAAATGCAATAATATATACATTGCTATCCTCAGAGAATAAAATACAATATTTTATAAGGGATCAAGTATGTACAGCGTTTTTGTTTTTTTACACCTCAATGATTATCCGAGCTAAAAAAAATGAAGCTGAAATAATGCCAAATGGAGGACGCTATATTCATAATTTATGCACTAAAATCAATATCATCTAAACTGTAGCTAATGTACGTATTTTTCGAGGAATCCTGATAGAATGTGCTTTTTGGATTTTCCCTCTTTTCGAGGACTTTCACCCTTGTCTGCAGATAATTTTCTCTCCTTGTCTTTTGTATTGCTAGCTTCTCTCGGCTGCGCAAACCGGGTGGCATACATCGTCGAGTCTCTCCATGTTTCATGTAACGGGGGTCTATTACTGCTTGAAATTGTCGGGCGTGTGAGCGAGGAACCCTTCGAATATCGTTGTTCCTCGCGGGGGGAAATGGTATATGATTCATTTTCGCCAAAGGTCACAGTCTTTCTTCTTGTTGGGTCTTTGCGGATTTTTTGTTGTCGGCGATAGCGCATCGACGATCCATCATCTAGCAGGTACTGGCTGCCCTGTGCCTGTTTACTATCGACCGCTACAGCGCTATACTCGTGTCGGTTGCCGGTAAATGAGTGACTTTTCGTCAGTGTAGCGTGATTAGCGGGTTCAATTCGCCGGGCACAAATGACTTCTTTGTCATTTCTTTGGTCACGGTAATGCGGAGTAGAATCGGTGGCACAGTAATCGTTTTGCTCAGAGTTGCCCCCGCAGCTGTAATTATTGTAGCTTGCGGCTTGGTTGAGTCTACTCGGATATCTAGAATCATAACCGCTATCGTGACTGTACGTAGAGTCTTCAGACACGCCAGAATCGGTTGACGTGCTCGAGATTGAATAGCGCCAGCCGGGAACGTTCTTAAATTCATAACTGACTCCTTCGTCCAAACCTTGAGCGAAGGAACACTTTTGTTTGAAACTCTCAGAGAGCATTGCTTGGGAGAGTAGCGCTCGTACTTGATCATTACCGGCGACGTCGACCGCTTTCTGTCCGCATCCGTTCCTTGCGTTCACATCAGCACAGGCTGAATTAACCAACAAGCTAACAATGTCCAGATGACCTTGTTCAGAAGCGAGGTGTAGCGCCGTGCGCCCATCAGAGTCCACAAGACTTAAATCCGCTCCTCGCTCCAGGAGAAAGTTCGCAAGCTCTAAGTTGCCATCCACACACGCTTGCTGTAGAGCGGTGAGTCCATATTTATTCGGTTGATTCACCCGTATGCCTTGTCCATATTTTAATATGAACTTGACTTTGGTCGTGTCTCCCTCTAACACGGCCTGGTGAAACACTACGCTCATGGCGAAGGAGACAACAAAAACGCTTTCCACGAGTATTCACACGTCCATTCAACCCGTCACTCTGTTGAAAAAGAGTAGATATTGATTGTACATCAATAAGCCACCAGATAATTTCACTTTCTAAACCTGAGTTATTTCGTAACATGCTTAGGTTTGTACTCCTTTCAAAACAGAACAAAGGAGTGTTTGAAAGAAGAATCAATTAGCGGTGTACAACGAATTCGAGAAGAACAAAAGTTTACGATAGCGCAAGATGTCGCGACCGGCTTACCTGACAAGGAATAATATAAACTTGGAAAATTGGTTAATACGTTTTGGATTTCCTATAAATTGTCATGAGCAATGGCTTATTATGTCGACGCATTCAACTGCGACCTTTTCCACGTAAACTACTGAAGCAGATCGGCAAACCCGCGGGAGTGATTAAAATTCACATGTACTCTAAACGGAATACATCGAGCTCTCGCGGCGCGTCCAAAAGGACACGTAATGACTCGATCTGTCATTGGTCGAGAGTTATACCCCGCGTTTGTTTGTGTAATGCAATATTGTTCGAACTTGAAACAGCGGGTGGCAAGTTTTCATCAACACCTCGGACAACCCTAAAAGGATCATAACATAACAAGCTGTCGACGTTGTTTTTTTTAGGCTAATTTAGAAAAACTTCTCCCAACACCAACACTGTCTCGAGAATTTTTTTCCGTCTTTTTCGTCCACAACTCTGCGTCAAGAGTTTTAATATGTTGTTACAGTAGTTGTATCGTGAAGCGATCGCAAGGGACAGTGATAGTAATTTATTGTTTCTCCATTGTTTAATGTATACTTTTGTTGGATCATAGCCGGTCCAGATCGAAAGAGCTTTACCTAACCTTGTTGTGGCGATTAGAACTGAAAAGACGGGAATTTTGTGAATCTAATTAGTTGTTGTATTAATTTTATATGGTGAGTGGATGAGAACGGTGCCATTTTAAAACAACATCACCCGGCTAAGATAGATCAACAAACCATCTACAGGGGTTCTTTTCAGGAAAAAAAATCTAAACAATTATAAAAAGCAATGATTGTTTCACCCTCCGAGAGAACCTGACATGAAGTAGCACTGATTACCAATTCATAATACAACCTAATAATAGCTTGGGATCGCTAAAAGCATTGAAGGGTTGTCTAAATATTGTCGCACCTTTGACATTCACTTCTGAAACAATATTGCTAGTAACTGCACTTGCCTTGAAGAGAACTAAGCATGTTTGTCGAGCTTATTTGCCTAATTTGTCATTATGCACTAAACACACTTACAGCGAACCGGAAATGACGCGTGTGGTGGTAGCAGTTCGGGCTAAAGGAAGTCGTTCAGAGAACATAAATTACATAATGATGCTATCGATACCTCTAATACTTCCTGTTCAGGAAGGAACTGAGAAAACGCGAGACGTCTGGTTTTGTTTGTCTTGCTTTTTAAGGTTGTATTTCAAGCAAACTCTAGGCCCTCGAGATTTTCAGCCTTTTTTGAACTTGTTGCTTTAGTCCACACCAAATCCATCCAAATCCGCCGTAGCTCTTGGTTTTTCCACATGTTGGCCTGTTGGCTTCTTAAATCTCCTCCCTATTTCCTTCTCCGGCTTGAATCAAGGTCTTTGATCTTTGTTCAGCCGTCGTCTTTGACTGAAAGAAGTTAGCGCGTGCAAAAATGCTTGGCACCTGCCTGTTTTGAGGCCTGATGTGTTTTTGTTCTCGGCCTGACACTCTTGCCCGGACTAACGACACTAGTTTCGTATCTTCCCGGTAGCGAGGCCGCGTTTTAACTGAACATTTGAAAATAGTACAATTTTGTACAAGTAAATTGTAATTGTCAGATGCGATCAGTTTACAGCTCCATCGAGTTGGAATGTAATGAGCTATTTTCGGTGGAATCACAATCAAACAAACTTTTTCGGGACATACCTTGAGCATCTAAGCTGGTTTTTTCCCGCGACTGTTATGTTCAAACGACCACTGATTCTGCTGTGTCTTCGATTTCAGTGGCTTCGGTAAATCTACGAGAGTTCAAACCGAGAGCGCTAACATTGATGATCTTCTCCGACGGAGTTCTCTTTTCAAAGTGAGCCCAAAACAACCACTTTCACGTTCAATCAATTCAATTCACCAATTTGATCATTTAGCAGGTATTTGTTTGCGGCAATATGTTTTAGGAGTCGTCCTGTTTCAGAACAAAGAATTAGTCTACCTTAACACGTGTAGCATTTACGACGGACAATCTCAAAAGCAAGCACGTCTATAGAGAGTATTTAGCGCATCTAAAGAAGTAATTGTTCTAGAACAACAAGGAAAACCTATGTCTGCCATTGCGGGCCTGTCAAAGACACGTGTCAGTTTCAGAACGTGCCATCGCTAGTCGGCACACGTGAAGTACTCAAAAGGAAAGTGTTGGAACAAAGAAGAGACAGGTCTCTAGTGCCACAGATGTAAGACAAGAAAAAAAGCGCAGCTCGAATCAGATGTTTTTCATGAAAAGGCAAGTGTTTCTTTCAGTTTTTCGATGTCGTGCGTCGCAAATCTGGTTTGTAAATAATAGCTACAAAAGGCTAACACGTCTTAGCGGCGTGGGAATCGCTTCCCGCCGCTCGCTAGAAAAAAGCGCCCCTGACAGACATTGCGTGAGAAACCTTAACTTAGGTACCTTCCTGCTGTGACTAATAAACCTTATTGGCGCCGAACAAAGTTACCAAGATCACGCGACAAAAAAAAATGAAAAAAAAAAAACTGTTGTTATTAGGGTTGAGTTTTCAATTTTTACAACTTTTAGCTTCAATGCAGACAAGCCCGTGATATTACACAATTTTGTACAATTCTAACAATTTTGTACCTGAAATTGAAAGTGATAAGAAAATGAAAAATGGACAAGTTAATATAGCTCCGCTATTGTTTATTGTCCAGTTAAGGTACCGTGTGTTTGTTGTTGCCGAATAAAGTTGCTGCGGTCAGAAAGAAAGAGAAATTCTGTTATGTTTCAGCAGAAGGAACTGAGGAAGGTTTGATCTCAGCGCTGCGGGTCATCGTAAGAAGTATAAAACTGATAAATGGATTTGTATACTTACTCAGTTGAATACAGACGTTCACTGATTCAAGTTTCAACAGGTTCAAAATCAGCTAACGCAAAGGGCATTTGCAAGCAGCGGCCGGGACACATCGAATAACAACGACTAACATACAAAGTTGCGCTATCGGCTGAGTATGTAAAGGAAGACGATAGATTATTTAGTTGGACGGTTTCTCAGGCAGCAATATAACTGGCACGCGACTTAAATTGAATTCTTCAATCGATATTGAACGAAAGCGCTGTGCAAACTATCTACGAAAGATAACTAGCCCTTAGCCTGCACCTGTCGCTTATCCTAAAATTACCTTAGAACAACTGCTAACTTATAATCCGCTTACTGTTCTGTGTGGGTCAGAATCTGTATGCCAGAGCAAGTTCTAAAACTGAGCAGTCATTTTCAAAGGTAACCCAGTCAAGTGCATTTTTAAAATTCTTACTGGCAGCTGTCACAAGCTATTTTAAGAAATTAAATGAGTATTGATAAACTGTCGTCAAGAAAAACGTGCAATGCCCCTGAGATTGAATCTTGACTGATGCGTGAAAAGCCTCGTGGAAATCCTGGAGAGTCTTCAGTCAAATTTTCGTCAGTTTTATTGCAGGAATTGGCTGAGCCAGAATGTGTCACACGCGATGCAACTGATGAACTAACAAAGATTTATGGCGTCTAATGGACTCTAATTTACTGAGCACGATACTGATAATTACGTGATCAACGGTTTTATACATCACGCAAACTCGGGCACGAAACCAAAACTCGGCCACTGAGCAACATGGTAAATCTCACAAGTTAATAAAAAATATTTTGCCTGCTGTTTATCGGCTCTCCAATAAATGAATTAAAGGGTAGGTAGATTGGCCCGGGCGAACATGCAGTGAACCAATGCAATTTTCTCCGTCCACTTTTCGCCTCGTTAGTAAGTCTATATAGAAAACGCTTCCTGCATGGAGTGCCGTGTATCTTCGAACGCCTTATATCGATCATGGTCAAATTATAACAGTAAAATTGTATCAAATTGTCTGCAATTCGCTATCCCATGGCTGAGAAGATTTTATCAACGCATCGACCAATATAACAATTTTAATAAAAATGCATTACCGCAGATTCAACATCCCTGGTAATTTATCTTCACAGTGTTAAAAAAAATGTCTCTATGACTGGCCATTAATAACCCCAGGGGATAGAGTTTCTTGGCTATGAGACAGGAGTCTGGAGAACTTTTAATAACAACGACGAAAACAAAGTAAAGCGTCATTTGAAGTTAGTTCGTATTGAGTTTTTTCCAAGTTGTAAGGAAACTATCAATGATTAACTGTCGAGGGTAGGAATATTTAGTTACTATTATAGTGGAACACTAAACTAAATAATATAAGCATAAACCAATAAAACCATTAAACTAATAAAAGTTCTTCTAGAATTATTGACACATGACGTGTACAGTACACAGCGCACGATATTCACGAATTTGTCACGCGATTGCACTGCCGTCAAGCTTGCAGCGCGCAAAACGAGGCACAATTTAAATCCGGGCCCTCCCCCAGCGGGAGTANAAATAGAGTTGTTGTAATACTTCACCACAAAAACGTTCAAAGGCATTTAAGAACCGACAAAATTAAAATCTACTCTTGGGGAAAGTTTAAATAAATTGCAGCTGCTTCCAACATTGTTTACATCATCCCATATAAATAGATATGTATCACCGAATATTTAAAATTCCAAACATGAAATTGAAATATCAAAACTAACCACTAGGTGCAATGATTCACAATCATGTAAGTAAAATGCAATAATATATACATTGCTATCCTCAGAGAATAAAATACAATATTTTATAAGGGATCAAGTATGTACAGCGTTTTTGTTTTTTTACACCTCAATGATTATCCGAGCTAAAAAAAATGAAGCTGAAATAATGCCAAATGGAGGACGCTATATTCATAATTTATGCACTAAAATCAATATCATCTAAACTGTAGCTAATGTACGTATTTTTCGAGGAATCCTGATAGAATGTGCTTTTTGGATTTTCCCTCTTTTCGAGGACTTTCACCCTTGTCTGCAGATAATTTTCTCTCCTTGTCTTTTGTATTGCTAGCTTCTCTCGGCTGCGCAAACCGGGTGGCATACATCGTCGAGTCTCTCCATGTTTCATGTAACGGGGGTCTATTACTGCTTGAAATTGTCGGGCGTGTGAGCGAGGAACCCTTCGAATATCGTTGTTCCTCGCGGGGGGAAATGGTATATGATTCATTTTCGCCAAAGGTCACAGTCTTTCTTCTTGTTGGGTCTTTGCGGATTTTTTGTTGTCGGCGATAGCGCATCGACGATCCATCATCTAGCAGGTACTGGCTGCCCTGTGCCTGTTTACTATCGACCGCTACAGCGCTATACTCGTGTCGGTTGCCGGTAAATGAGTGACTTTTCGTCAGTGTAGCGTGATTAGCGGGTTCAATTCGCCGGGCACAAATGACTTCTTTGTCATTTCTTTGGTCACGGTAATGCGGAGTAGAATCGGTGGCACAGTAATCGTTTTGCTCAGAGTTGCCCCCGCAGCTGTAATTATTGTAGCTTGCGGCTTGGTTGAGTCTACTCGGATATCTAGAATCATAACCGCTATCGTGACTGTACGTAGAGTCTTCAGACACGCCAGAATCGGTTGACGTGCTCGAGATTGAATAGCGCCAGCCGGGAACGTTCTTAAATTCATAACTGACTCCTTCGTCCAAACCTTGAGCGAAGGAACACTTTTGTTTGAAACTCTCAGAGAGCATTGCTTGGGAGAGTAGCGCTCGTACTTGATCATTACCGGCGACGTCGACCGCTTTCTGTCCGCATCCGTTCCTTGCGTTCACATCAGCACAGGCTGAATTAACCAACAAGCTAACAATGTCCAGATGACCTTGTTCAGAAGCGAGGTGTAGCGCCGTGCGCCCATCAGAGTCCACAAGACTTAAATCCGCTCCTCGCTCCAGGAGAAAGTTCGCAAGCTCTAAGTTGCCATCCACACACGCTTGCTGTAGAGCGGTGAGTCCATATTTATTCGGTTGATTCACCCGTATGCCTTGTCCATATTTTAATATGAACTTGACTTTGGTCGTGTCTCCCTCTAACACGGCCTGGTGAAACACTACGCTCATGGCGAAGGAGACAACAAAAACGCTTTCCACGAGTATTCACACGTCCATTCAACCCGTCACTCTGTTGAAAAAGAGTAGATATTGATTGTACATCAATAAGCCACCAGATAATTTCACTTTCTAAACCTGAGTTATTTCGTAACATGCTTAGGTTTGTACTCCTTTCAAAACAGAACAAAGGAGTGTTTGAAAGAAGAATCAATTAGCGGTGTACAACGAATTCGAGAAGAACAAAAGTTTACGATAGCGCAAGATGTCGCGACCGGCTTACCTGACAAGGAATAATATAAACTTGGAAAATTGGTTAATACGTTTTGGATTTCCTATAAATTGTCATGAGCAATGGCTTATTATGTCGACGCATTCAACTGCGACCTTTTCCACGTAAACTACTGAAGCAGATCGGCAAACCCGCGGGAGTGATTAAAATTCACATGTACTCTAAACGGAATACATCGAGCTCTCGCGGCGCGTCCAAAAGGACACGTAATGACTCGATCTGTCATTGGTCGAGAGTTATACCCCGCGTTTGTTTGTGTAATGCAATATTGTTCGAACTTGAAACAGCGGGTGGCAAGTTTTCATCAACACCTCGGACAACCCTAAAAGGATCATAACATAACAAGCTGTCGACGTTGTTTTTTTTAGGCTAATTTAGAAAAACTTCTCCCAACACCAACACTGTCTCGAGAATTTTTTTCCGTCTTTTTCGTCCACAACTCTGCGTCAAGAGTTTTAATATGTTGTTACAGTAGTTGTATCGTGAAGCGATCGCAAGGGACAGTGATAGTAATTTATTGTTTCTCCATTGTTTAATGTATACTTTTGTTGGATCATAGCCGGTCCAGATCGAAAGAGCTTTACCTAACCTTGTTGTGGCGATTAGAACTGAAAAGACGGGAATTTTGTGAATCTAATTAGTTGTTGTATTAATTTTATATGGTGAGTGGATGAGAACGGTGCCATTTTAAAACAACATCACCCGGCTAAGATAGATCAACAAACCATCTACAGGGGTTCTTTTCAGGAAAAAAAATCTAAACAATTATAAAAAGCAATGATTGTTTCACCCTCCGAGAGAACCTGACATGAAGTAGCACTGATTACCAATTCATAATACAACCTAATAATAGCTTGGGATCGCTAAAAGCATTGAAGGGTTGTCTAAATATTGTCGCACCTTTGACATTCACTTCTGAAACAATATTGCTAGTAACTGCACTTGCCTTGAAGAGAACTAAGCATGTTTGTCGAGCTTATTTGCCTAATTTGTCATTATGCACTAAACACACTTACAGCGAACCGGAAATGACGCGTGTGGTGGTAGCAGTTCGGGCTAAAGGAAGTCGTTCAGAGAACATAAATTACATAATGATGCTATCGATACCTCTAATACTTCCTGTTCAGGAAGGAACTGAGAAAACGCGAGACGTCTGGTTTTGTTTGTCTTGCTTTTTAAGGTTGTATTTCAAGCAAACTCTAGGCCCTCGAGATTTTCAGCCTTTTTTGAACTTGTTGCTTTAGTCCACACCAAATCCATCCAAATCCGCCGTAGCTCTTGGTTTTTCCACATGTTGGCCTGTTGGCTTCTTAAATCTCCTCCCTATTTCCTTCTCCGGCTTGAATCAAGGTCTTTGATCTTTGTTCAGCCGTCGTCTTTGACTGAAAGAAGTTAGCGCGTGCAAAAATGCTTGGCACCTGCCTGTTTTGAGGCCTGATGTGTTTTTGTTCTCGGCCTGACACTCTTGCCCGGACTAACGACACTAGTTTCGTATCTTCCCGGTAGCGAGGCCGCGTTTTAACTGAACATTTGAAAATAGTACAATTTTGTACAAGTAAATTGTAATTGTCAGATGCGATCAGTTTACAGCTCCATCGAGTTGGAATGTAATGAGCTATTTTCGGTGGAATCACAATCAAACAAACTTTTTCGGGACATACCTTGAGCATCTAAGCTGGTTTTTTCCCGCGACTGTTATGTTCAAACGACCACTGATTCTGCTGTGTCTTCGATTTCAGTGGCTTCGGTAAATCTACGAGAGTTCAAACCGAGAGCGCTAACATTGATGATCTTCTCCGACGGAGTTCTCTTTTCAAAGTGAGCCCAAAACAACCACTTTCACGTTCAATCAATTCAATTCACCAATTTGATCATTTAGCAGGTATTTGTTTGCGGCAATATGTTTTAGGAGTCGTCCTGTTTCAGAACAAAGAATTAGTCTACCTTAACACGTGTAGCATTTACGACGGACAATCTCAAAAGCAAGCACGTCTATAGAGAGTATTTAGCGCATCTAAAGAAGTAATTGTTCTAGAACAACAAGGAAAACCTATGTCTGCCATTGCGGGCCTGTCAAAGACACGTGTCAGTTTCAGAACGTGCCATCGCTAGTCGGCACACGTGAAGTACTCAAAAGGAAAGTGTTGGAACAAAGAAGAGACAGGTCTCTAGTGCCACAGATGTAAGACAAGAAAAAAAGCGCAGCTCGAATCAGATGTTTTTCATGAAAAGGCAAGTGTTTCTTTCAGTTTTTCGATGTCGTGCGTCGCAAATCTGGTTTGTAAATAATAGCTACAAAAGGCTAACACGTCTTAGCGGCGTGGGAATCGCTTCCCGCCGCTCGCTAGAAAAAAGCGCCCCTGACAGACATTGCGTGAGAAACCTTAACTTAGGTACCTTCCTGCTGTGACTAATAAACCTTATTGGCGCCGAACAAAGTTACCAAGATCACGCGACAAAAAAAAATGAAAAAAAAAAAACTGTTGTTATTAGGGTTGAGTTTTCAATTTTTACAACTTTTAGCTTCAATGCAGACAAGCCCGTGATATTACACAATTTTGTACAATTCTAACAATTTTGTACCTGAAATTGAAAGTGATAAGAAAATGAAAAATGGACAAGTTAATATAGCTCCGCTATTGTTTATTGTCCAGTTAAGGTACCGTGTGTTTGTTGTTGCCGAATAAAGTTGCTGCGGTCAGAAAGAAAGAGAAATTCTGTTATGTTTCAGCAGAAGGAACTGAGGAAGGTTTGATCTCAGCGCTGCGGGTCATCGTAAGAAGTATAAAACTGATAAATGGATTTGTATACTTACTCAGTTGAATACAGACGTTCACTGATTCAAGTTTCAACAGGTTCAAAATCAGCTAACGCAAAGGGCATTTGCAAGCAGCGGCCGGGACACATCGAATAACAACGACTAACATACAAAGTTGCGCTATCGGCTGAGTATGTAAAGGAAGACGATAGATTATTTAGTTGGACGGTTTCTCAGGCAGCAATATAACTGGCACGCGACTTAAATTGAATTCTTCAATCGATATTGAACGAAAGCGCTGTGCAAACTATCTACGAAAGATAACTAGCCCTTAGCCTGCACCTGTCGCTTATCCTAAAATTACCTTAGAACAACTGCTAACTTATAATCCGCTTACTGTTCTGTGTGGGTCAGAATCTGTATGCCAGAGCAAGTTCTAAAACTGAGCAGTCATTTTCAAAGGTAACCCAGTCAAGTGCATTTTTAAAATTCTTACTGGCAGCTGTCACAAGCTATTTTAAGAAATTAAATGAGTATTGATAAACTGTCGTCAAGAAAAACGTGCAATGCCCCTGAGATTGAATCTTGACTGATGCGTGAAAAGCCTCGTGGAAATCCTGGAGAGTCTTCAGTCAAATTTTCGTCAGTTTTATTGCAGGAATTGGCTGAGCCAGAATGTGTCACACGCGATGCAACTGATGAACTAACAAAGATTTATGGCGTCTAATGGACTCTAATTTACTGAGCACGATACTGATAATTACGTGATCAACGGTTTTATACATCACGCAAACTCGGGCACGAAACCAAAACTCGGCCACTGAGCAACATGGTAAATCTCACAAGTTAATAAAAAATATTTTGCCTGCTGTTTATCGGCTCTCCAATAAATGAATTAAAGGGTAGGTAGATTGGCCCGGGCGAACATGCAGTGAACCAATGCAATTTTCTCCGTCCACTTTTCGCCTCGTTAGTAAGTCTATATAGAAAACGCTTCCTGCATGGAGTGCCGTGTATCTTCGAACGCCTTATATCGATCATGGTCAAATTATAACAGTAAAATTGTATCAAATTGTCTGCAATTCGCTATCCCATGGCTGAGAAGATTTTATCAACGCATCGACCAATATAACAATTTTAATAAAAATGCATTACCGCAGATTCAACATCCCTGGTAATTTATCTTCACAGTGTTAAAAAAAATGTCTCTATGACTGGCCATTAATAACCCCAGGGGATAGAGTTTCTTGGCTATGAGACAGGAGTCTGGAGAACTTTTAATAACAACGACGAAAACAAAGTAAAGCGTCATTTGAAGTTAGTTCGTATTGAGTTTTTTCCAAGTTGTAAGGAAACTATCAATGATTAACTGTCGAGGGTAGGAATATTTAGTTACTATTATAGTGGAACACTAAACTAAATAATATAAGCATAAACCAATAAAACCATTAAACTAATAAAAGTTCTTCTAGAATTATTGACACATGACGTGTACAGTACACAGCGCACGATATTCACGAATTTGTCACGCGATTGCACTGCCGTCAAGCTTGCAGCGCGCAAAACGAGGCACAATTTAAATCCGGGCCCTCCCCCAGCGGGAGTATCGAGGAGGGAAGGGCATTCCCGACTACTTCTACTGATAAGTCCTGGGGGAGGGTTTTAAGAGAGGTTTTATAAACCAACCTGCATGAGATCACGGTCTCTAAGTTCCCCTATAGCGTCCTCTGGTGACAAATCATTGAATTGCTGTTGCGCGCAGTTTATCGAGTTACCCACCAAACCCTTCTCAAACGTCTCCCCTGTGTATCCGACGGCAAAATATAATTAACTAAATAAAGGGATTGTTGCGGTCGGTCTGTATTATTACGCCATCCGTGATAGCGGACCGCAACACAGAAGCATTGATTGTGTAAAGAGCTTAAAATTGCCGACCTTGAACCTCGTTTTTGTTGTGACTGGCTGATATCCATGTGATCGGTATCCATTCATGTTCCAAAATCTAGCATGTACTAAAGTTATAATTTGAACTATTACACTTTGAACGATGGACGATGGACTATTTTATCTTCTCGCAATATGATATAACCGGATCTCGTCGCATGCGACTTCATAGATCTATAGAGGAAATTAAATCTGGACCATCTTAGGCACGGTTTAATCTTTTTTTAACTGGCAAAATTGTATATTTACCTCGCCGGATGTTTGAGGACCAGTAATGTTCAAAGACTGTATATATCAGCAGAGAAAACCGGCATTTTCAGATTAAAAAGAACGATGGCTAAAGGCCCGTCTGTTATCTTTTTTGGTAGAGGGTACACGGTTTGGAGCTGAAAATTGACAGAAAACGTTAGCTGTTATTTAGCTGAGAAATGACGCGTGTTGTTAACGTGTAATCTAGGATATGGGAAAGATCCTGTTATTGGAGAAATGGGATATAAAATTCGACTGATGGCTGAGAAGTCGCAAAAAATTTGAACGTGATCTCCAAGATTCTAGCAGCCCCATAAGCACCCATGTAATCTCTACTAGCATACAACTGTACCTCGCCGCCCGTACCAAAAATGCGACACAGCTAGTTGTCATTAAGACGACGAGACAAAGAAAACTGGGGATAGTATAATTTCACGCAACCACGTCTTGTATGAAGGAGGTCGAAGTAATCATGATTTGTACCCTCACTTTTCTGTGATCACGCTCATGTAGTTGTATTATGTGACGATAAAATAATCCATCGTCCGTCGTCCAGCGGTCCATTGTCCAGAATCCAAAAATCAAAATTTCAGTAAAAGCCCGCCCAAAATCTTGCAAAGAGGAGATCGATATTCGTCAAAGCGGTTCATAAAAGCTCTATCCGACGCGGGCACTGTTTGACGCTCTATTTTCCCCGACAGTAGATATTTTAACAACAACAGACCACCCACTTGGAGCTAGAAACCGTGGGAAAGGACACCTTTATTTAAATCAGGAAATCCTAGAGGCGAACATTGCTTGATGAAATTGCATTGATAAAAATTCTTTTGTGAATTTTGCATAGTGTTCCTTGTTAGAAAGACAATGTTAAGGATAAAGACAAGAATTCTTTGTGATTGATGCATTTGCAAAATGCGTTATGTTTTCCCTGCACCTGATTTGAAATTGTTGCAAATTCAATTCGTGTAAAACAAAGGTTTGGTAACTCATAAACTGGCAAAAATAAGCGATAAAAATGGAACGATGTTTCGGAGTCGTCAAGTTCAAAATGATTAAAATAAACTATTACAAGTAGTTCGCCGATGGTTAACGTAAACGGTAAAA